TATATATATATATATATATATATATATATATATATATATATATATATATATATATATATATATATATATATATATATATATATATATATATATATATTTATATATATATATATATATATATATATATATATATATATATATATATATATATATATATATATATATATATATAACCAGTGGTTAGTTTTGAAAATTCCCGTTTACTGTGGTAATGATTTTCAAATGTCAAAATCCTAATAAAAATATATATATACTTTCCTTGTAATGCTGATCAAAATCTATATCTTCTTATTTTATACAATAGGTTTTACAATAGCTAAATAGTAGATTAGAGACTTTTGGGATATTATATAATACATTGGTTGATATATATATATATATATATATATATATATATATATATATATATATATATATATATATATATATATATATATATATATATATATATATATATATATATATATATATATATATATATATATATATATATATATATATATATATATATATATATATATATATATATATATATATATATATATATATATATATATATATATTTATATATATATATATATATATATATATATATATATATATATATATATATATATATATATATATATATATATATATATTATATATATGTATATATATATATATATATATATATATATATATATATATATATATATATATATATATATATATATATATATATATATATATAGATATATATACATATACACATATATATATATATGTATATATATATATATATATATATATAAATATATGTATGTATATATATATATATATATATATATATATATATATATATATATATATATATAAATGTATATATATATATATATATATATATATATATATATGCGGTAGTGGTGTAGTGGTAGAGCGCTCGCTTCATAAACGAGTGGTTCCGAGTTCGATCCCCACCACGTCCCTGGTAGTACCGCGCTCAACTCGTTTCTCCGCGCAGCGGCCTTATTCGTCAAGGTTCGTGTTTCGGAGTTATAGAGTTGAGAGAGGGTTATAGCCACAAAATAAGTAGCCTCCTCGTCTGTAGTGGTCTTTTCGGCCTTGAGGAGGTGAAGTAAAATAAAAATATATATATATATATATATATATATATATATATATATATATATATATATATATATATATATATATATATATATATATATATATATATATATGAATATATATATCAACTTTATTACCATTATATTGGTAGTAAAGTTGATATATTAATTATTTAGTAATATTGGTAATAAAGTTGATATATTAAATAGTTAACTATTAGTTGATATTATAATAATATCAACTATTATTAATTCTTTTTTTTTTAAACAGTTTTAAATAATCTTAATTATTTCCTGATTTACTATTTCACTTTTTTTTTAGTCTAACACTTAAAAGATCTTTCAATAATTTTTACTAACAAACTATATTGTTAATAATGGATTTTAATAATTCGATTAATCCAGTTGCCATTCAAGATATTGTTAAAATAAGCCAAACTATAACTGAACATGTGGTATTATCCTTCAATAATATTGATAATATTGTTTTTTAATACATGTAATATTTAGTTTTTTGTTGTTATCATTATTATTATAGCAACAATAATAATAATAACAAGTATTATAATTGTTATTATTATTACTGTTATTTTCATAGCAGCAATTCGATAATAGTTCAATAGTTTATAATTGGATGGTTCAATTTTTATTTAAACAAATCAACAATTATAATAATCAAAATAATATGTTTTATTTATTCTAGCAGTTATATTTTTACACTCTACTGTATGTAAAAATATAATTGCTAGATCTCCTTGTTTTAGCAATGCTATATGTGAGTAAACCATCCGGTGTAAGTATTACTTTATTTATGTGGCTCATGTATTGTAATAATTTTACTGAAAAATATTTTGTTTTGTTGTTTAGAACAACTGTATGTGTTTTTAAAAATTAGCTTCTTGAAATTTTGAATCTTAAGGTTTTTTTTGTGTGAACCTTCTTGTTCATGCCAGTTATACATAGGAAGTTATATATATAAATTATATATATATAAATATATATATAAATATATATATATATATATATATATATATATATATATATATATATATATATATATATATATATATATATATATATATATATATATATATATATATATATATATATATATATATAATTTTGATAAATAAAACTTTGATAACTAGATTTCATTGGAAGAAGAGTATAGTGTGGCTTTTAATGTACAAAAAGGTGAAGATGAAAAAGGTAAACGTTGTTTATATTTCTATACTTTTTATTTTATACTATATATTTAAATCTTCTGAAATGAGCCTTAAAATGTTTCTAAAATAGAAGCTCTAAAATAAAAACTCTTTATTTCTAAAATACTGTATATAATATTGCATACTTTGGTTGGTGCTATGACGCTATACTGATTTAGGGGTTGGTGAGAGCTTCAGTACATCAACTGATTTAAGGAGAACTTAAAAGGGAGGTGATAACACATTGAAGGGTCAGGTTTGGGGCAGAAATCAATTTATTTTCGTTATTCTTCCTTTTCTCTCTTCTTTTTCATTAAAAACCATGAGGAATTAAGTAAGCAGGTTTACTCACCTAAACCTTCTATCATAGGTATATATATATATATATATATATATATATATATATATATATTATATATATATATATATATATATATATATATATATATATATATATATATATATATATATATATAAACTGTAAATGATTAACCCTCTATCGTAAGTATATATATATATATATATATATATATATATATATATATATATATATATATATATATATATATATATATATATATATGTATATAGAAACTGTAAATGATTCTTACACAGCTATATATATTTATTCCGTATTATATAACTTTTAACTTTCTACATGCTGATAACCAGTCATCTGCATCATCACGGTCTACTTGCCCAAACCATCTCAATCTTTCATGATGCACCCTATCAAATACACTCACTATGCATAATCTTTTTCATAAATTATCACTGCTTTCCAAACTCTGAACTTCATCAACTCTCATTGCCCATTTTTTCACTGCTATACACTCTGGACGTATATGCTTTTTATATATATTGTATATATTGTTTTGTTGATCTTAGCTTGTGAGGCATCATTATAGGTGTAATTTTTTTTGAAATTTTATTGTCTAAAATAGTTAGTGTGTCTTCGAAGTTTAACTGATTTTCAATAAGTGGGAAGGATTTAGCACAATATAGAACAATTAAGACATCTAGCTATTAAGCATCTGTTTCTTGAGCTTTTAAGATATAAGTTTGTACCATTCTTTTCCAATAAAGATATTCCTCCTCTGACGGTTCGTCTTGGAGAGTTTTTTGGAATATTTTATGATCCATTAAATAAGATGTAAATAAGATAATTAAATAATAACCTTAGAGTGTTATTAGTCTTGATTGGGTTTACCACAATGTTATTTAATTATCTTATTATTACAATGGATCATAAAATAATCCAAAAAACTCTCCTTTGTAGGGCTAAGTTCCACATATTGCCACAATCTTAACCGCTATTAATACCAGTGCTAGCCCTTATCGACACAGGTTCTGACACTTCAATTTGTAAGTAAACGTGAACCAATTCAATTCTGCCTTACCCTCTCTACCATTGAATGAAAAATATATGAGCTTATTCCTTGAATCAATACTTCTCAACTCACTCCAATTGCAACATCTTCACATTAAAACAACTCAAATGCAGACTTTATTAATAACCATGTCCTAGAATAGACGACCTACTAAATAAGGTACCCATAAACAGTATACTCTGTAAAATAGACCTTAAAAACGCCTACCACCAAATCCCTCTAAAAAAGAAATATTATTCTTTGACAGCTTTTGAAGCTAATGGAAAATTGTACTCATGCACATGTGCAGTAGCCATCTTTAACACTTTTTGAAATGTTTACAATAAAGGCTTATTATTAAAGTTATTAAATATGCCTATGTTATTGTTTTAAAATGAGTGTATTTAGAAGGGTTTTTATTTTTATTTTATTTTTTATATTTTATGATTATATTTATTTAATGTGTGTGCATATATTGATTTAATTTAGTGATGATAGCAATGGAAAACTTAGGTAGATGTGCAAGCAGCATTGCAGTTGAAAATGCTTTTGTACAGAGTATAATGATGATTCCTCCATTTCTTTAGGTTGAGGAATCTCTACTGTCACTTGGTAGCCATGGTAATGGTGATGAAGTTTTCTACTGCATTTTAATTATAGTTAATGCTTTAGGAAAGAAAACATTTATAGCTAGGTATTTGTTTCAGAATTTATTTTATCAATATTTTCTTTTTCTTGAAAAAATTTATTTAACTTAATTATTATTTATCTTATTACATTGACCTTTTTTAAAAAATATATTTATATATTAATTTATTTGATCATTAGGTATTTTGAGTATGGCAGTTTTACTGCATTCTTTGAAAATGTTGCTCTTGGGAAGCTAAAAAAAGATCTAGGAATTAAAGAAATTCTTCCATATTATGTGTTTACACTAAAGGATATTGAAAAGGAACTTTTATTAAAAAATGAAACTTTTGGGCACAGAACTAATGGTATTAGATAGTTATAAAAATGTGTTGTTTGTAGAATACTAATTTGCTAATACTAGAATACTACTTTAATTTTTTATTTGAAAACCTAGTTTTTATATGATTATATACATTGAATTGTCTGTGGTTAATAATTGTATGCCAATATATATATATATATATATATATATATATATATATATATATATATATATATATATATATATATATATATATATATATAATTTTTTATTTAAAAAAAATTATGAAAGACAATGTTTTACATGGTTTTTATATAGGTAGCAAAAGTCGTATTCACAAAAGCAGAACTTTTAATCGCTTTGTATATGATTTCAAAGGTGGCTTGAATGAAAGTCTAAAAAAACTAATATTTGAGCTAGATAAAAATGATTTTTGCATTTGTTATCATTTAATTACTGCTTGTCTTCTTAAAGACCATTTATGGGAGGGCATTCTTCAAGGAAACAAAAAGTATGTTAGAGAAAATTGCTAAATTTTTTGCATTATTTTATAGTGTGATTTGATGTTATCACATTACAAATATGCAGCTATATTTAAATATAATATATAAGTTGCTCAATCAAAAGCAGATGTCTGCGATGAGAAAGAGTTGATTGAAAACTTAGTAATTTTTTTATAAAATTAATAATGATTTTCTTTATTTGCAAAATTTTTATGAATTGATTGGTTTATTTATCTTGCAACTAACTTTTATTAGATATTTTATTTGCCAACCTAGAGAAAAAGCAGGTGAATGGGAGAGTTCTCTTATGCTTCACAGAAGTAACCCCCAGGGAGCTTCAATATACGGAAAACTTTGGAGTGTATTGTTAGAAAATCCATCATTAGAAGATTGATTTAGAATTCTTTCCGATATTCCCAACCATCATAAATGGAAATGGGATAAACATGTTAAAATTCGAAGATATGAACAGAAATTTTCGAATTCATGCAGGTATTTTCCTGGTTCTCCAAGAAACCGAATTCTTCAGGCCTCTTTTTATCGAGTTGGCTCTGAAAGTATTATTTTATCACTTTTTAAAAATGTATTTGGCGTTAAAGAGACAGTAATATATCCATCTAGGAAAGAAAAATTATCTATAGTAGTTTCAAAAGCAAAAAAGAGTAGAATATCTTCCGAAGAGTGTTTTCTTGACCAAGTTAGTATTTAAGAATATTGAATTATTATAATGTGTATTATTTGTTATTTTATGTATCAATTTATTTTAGGAGTTTCAATATAATTACTTACCTTGCGGAAATAAAGTTGTTTCAAACAATATTGGCACAATTTCTAGTAATGAGGTATTGTGAATATTAATTAAATCAAATCAAAATGAGTTATGTTAAAATTTTCTCTAATTTGTCTTTTACAATAATTTGTCTTTTACGATAATTTGTCTTTTAAAATAATTTGTATTTTACAATATTTTATTCCAAGTAACATACAGGAAACGACACACTTTGTTTCAAGTTAACTTTGTTCAGCAATTAACAAAAAAAAACAGTCTTTTTGAATACTTTTGTGCTGAACTTTTTAGTCATGGTGTTCTGTGTTGGCGTGTTAGAAAACCGTCTCTAAATATATGTGTCATGAACAATTACAATGAGAATGGTAATTTTCAAGTAGGTTTATTATTTATTTTATGCAAATAAGTTTGTAAACATTTGCAGGTTCCTAATATATATATATATATATATATATATATATATATATATATATATATATATATATATATATATATATATATATATATATATATATATATATATATATATATATTAGGAACCTGCAAATCTGCAATTTTTGTTATAGAATCTTGAATCTAAGGTATTGGTTCACAAATTGAATCATGAATCAAATCAGCATATTGAGGAAATCTATTTTTTTAAATATCTATTTCAAAAAAAAAATTCTTTTTGGTGATTTTTGCCTTGGCTAACCTTTTTAGTTAGATTAAATTTCTTCCAAAAATCACAACAAAATAAGTACTGATTTGAAAAACTGAAATAAATATTCTTTAATTGAATCTTAAACCACTTTTCCAATTTGAAATTTTGACGCTTTGTAGTTTTGTGGCCCTAAAATGTGTGTGTGTCTGTGTGTGTGTGGGTGTGTGTGTGTAATTAAATATGTGTGTAACAATTTTAAACTTTTTAACAATTTATAACTAATATATTTAATTAAATAAATAAGGATAAAGAATTTGTTCATGTAAAAGTGGAAACCATATGTTCTTCAACTATATACAACTGCTCGTGTAAAACATTCTCATCGTGCTTTTTTTTTCAATCAGAGGATACAACAAATGTCAATAATTGTTGCCATTGTCGGCTGCTAAACCAGCTAATGCATATGCTTAATAATCCTGAATTCATCCCAGAAAATCGTTTATTCAGCAAAAAAAAACTTATGAATAGTTTAATCTATCTCACATCAAATGTTTTAAAGTTAACTTCCAAATCTAGAGTTGAAAGATATTCTGTAGTTGCTGATTCCTGTGCTTTTGTTACGATTTTTGAAATTTTAAAATCATCCCGCAAAGTAATCAAATGTCATGATTCAGAGTGTCAAATATCTGAAAGATCTACACGTCAGATTAATAATCTACAAAATGGTTGCTTATGTCCACCCTAAAAGTCTTTAGAAAATATTTTTATATTTTATCAAAACAAAGTAGAATCAATTTCTAATGACAAAGATGAAGTGATTTCTAATGATTCTGAGTTAAAAGATAAAATTCATCTACCAAGGGAAAAGGTTTTTATTTTGTTTTTTTAATAATTTTTTTTTTTTGCTTTTTTGTTTATTATTTGTGTAAATTTTTGCTTTAATTGTGGGAAGATGTTTTTAATGTTGCATCTGGTTTATGGACATTTGGAATTAATGCACCAAGTAAAAAGACTGTTTCCCATGACCAATTTAATAAAAAGTTTAGCAGTGACATTGTAAATTGGCAGTCTGCTACCAATGGACATCGCTTTATACCTTCTATTGATCTAGACATCTGTGACTGTAAGTACTGTGGTGTAAGAATGATTTTTAAAACTTTTTTTTTGTTATAAACAGTTTATTAATTGTTTCAATAAAAAATTGATTCAAAGTATTTTTACAGACTCTTTAGCTGTGAAGATGTGTAAATCTTAGGTATCTTAAAATAATATCTTAAATGGTGGTAAAGTATAAAGTATATTGATAGGTCACCCAGCTACTGGTAACATGTAATCCAGTACAACCTGCTTTGCAAGGATGGCCTTATAATTATAAAAATTTGCTTTAACTCTTCCATGATGATGATTTTAATTTTTTTAATTTTCATAAAATAATTTTCATTTTTATTTCATTACAGGCTGGGTGGGTATCTGAATCTGTTTTATCTGGTTATACAGAATTTTACCATAAAATAAATATGTATACAGATCGGGAAGTAATTGAATGTGATGTTTTTTTGAGAAAATGTTTATCCAATACTTGCACATCTTATTGGGATGACTGTGAAGACTCTGTTTTTTGCTTATCTAAATCCACTTGTGCAGGTTATGAATTAGGTAAAAAAATGTCATCAATTGAATGTGATATTGTTGTTGTTTTTTTGGGAGGAGCAGTGATGCATTTTATTTGCTCAATAATTAAGTTAATTTTTGAATTTGAAATTTTCAGGTTGGGAGTTTGTTGATTTTGTTTTGTCCAAAGGAACTTTTAGTGGTTTTGTTAGTTTGTATTCAAACAAATATAAAAGTAGAAATACCTCTCTTTTGCCATTTATGTCTATGCAGACATTTATTGTTTGGTTTTTTGCTTGGGCCTCCCACATGCACATTGACTTTAAAGAAAAATGTCAAATGTGCCCAGAAAATCAACAAATACCAGTTTTAGCATTTGATGCAACTAAAATCGGAATCAGCCTCAAAATATCATTTGTAAAACCTATAGAGTCACCTGAACTTAATGAGATTATTCCAACACCATTGCGACGACTATATAGGTCATTTATATTTAATTCCGTAAAATTAGATTCTAAACAGTTTTCAGACGCTAGGTTTTATCTAAGAAAGGTTTGTATTTTTATTCTGTCTTGTCGACAACTCTGATTTTATAAATTTTGATGCTGATACATTAAAGTTGAACTCAATTCTTGTGGATTACATTCCTCCTGAATGCGTACCTGAATGCGTCATTTCAGCTAATGGTTTCTGAATCACCTGTTCCAAATCTTTTGCGATTGTCTTATGCCAAAGTTTTTAAAATTCTTGCTGCTGATAGCTCCCTAGATTCATTAATTCCATTGCGATTTACTGATGATGCATATGTGAACAATTTTTATCCAATCAGGGTGATTGTGAACTTGTTAAATTTTGTTATTTATTGTGTTGTTTTTCTCCAGAGCTAGCAAGACTCGTTGAAATATCCTCCAACTTCAACAATACACCTTCTGGTGATATTTTATTATTAATACAATATTGTTGCAACTTAGTAAAAAAAATTCATATTAGTGATGTTCAACCAAATAATGCAGAAGTCATTGAAGGTACTTATAATCCACCACGATATGGTAGAGGATACTATTTTGAAAAACATGGGTGCCAAATAAGGAAAATGCGATTGTTTTCTGCAGATAAAAGCTCCAATACTAACCTGTTTGATGATATTCCATCAGAAGTTTACAATAAATTGTTTCCACAACTATCAAAAAAAGGTGTATCTTTTCTTTTTTTATGGTCTTGCCCTATGCATGGCCATTGCTATGGGTTCCATATTCCAGGATCTGAGGGAAGGAAGGACCCGCATGCTTCATTGTATACACACCTTGAAATTGCTCCGGAAAATGTTGTTTATGACTTTGCTTGCAGCTTGTCAGAGTTTTGTCATAACCGTGAATCTAGATATTTTAGAAATACCTCTTTTTTTCATGATGTATTTTATGGTTATACGCACAAATGTGCAGATGTCTTTCGGTGTAATCGTTTGGGTAGTTTTTATCCAATAAATTCATCTATCTGCGAACAATTTAATAGCTTTTTACAAAATATAAAATCTTCTGCTAAATTAATGACACAAACTCATTTTTGTTTTTATCTTCAATTTTTTATTCATATTTGGTACCAGCGGAAAAAAAATTTATTTGAAAAAAGAGTTATTGTATCTGAATACACTAATGTATAGTATAAAACTTGCTGATTTCATTTTTGAAAATCAGGTGCCGTTATGGTTGACTTTAAAAAATTCACTTTAATCAATATGTTTAATATAAACTGTAATCAAGATGTTACAAGAAAACTATTTATTTATATTTTAGTTTAAAAAAAAAAAAATTTTATAGTTTGTTCTATGCTATAAAGAATTGTTTGCTGACTGATTGTCTGTTTCAGTTCATTCCATTAGTGGAATACTGAAATAGTCATTCAGATAGTTTTGTGTATCAACATGCTACTAGAAGATTCTTTATTTGACACAGAAATTCGATTTCAGTCTATGAAAAAGGTTAGATAAATGTTCTTTACTAATATATTAATGCTGTTGTTTTAGGAACATTACCTATTATTAACATCTTCATATCTTTCATATTATATATATTTTTTAATAATTTATAATTTTTTGTTCTAAATTTTATGTAACATGTAAAAACCTAGCCAAACTTTGAAAATGAATGTCTTGAATAACACAAGTTACCGATTTTATTTTTCAGTCTAAAATCAATGGCTTTTCTTTTTCAATCGCATACGAAGTGCCTTTTGATCATTCGAGTTTTAGGCACTTTTAATTAGTTTCTATTTTTTTTTTTTTATATTTAGTTTCTATACATTTATACTTAAACCACAAAGTCCTAATATTTAGTTGTAACATTTTATATATCAGGGCTGGCGATTCTTGTATATTAATATTGCGTCTTGGCCTAATCGATTTTTTTTACTATGAAGTCATAACTCCTATATGCATAATAATAAATTTCAAATATTGTAAATAATGAAGAAAAGGCATATAAAAAAATCTAAAAAACAAAGTTTACTTTGAACTAAGTTCAAATTACATTAATTTACAAAGTTACATTTAGTTTCGCACATTAACTTTCCAAATAAATTTTATTATAACATAATACGGAGATAAGAAGGCATAAGGGAGAATTCATATAGTACGTAGGTAGTATAACCACAATCTACGTACTTTATGAATCTATGTACTTTAAGCATATATTATTATAACCAATTATTTTTACATTTTTTATTAGCCGTTAAATTTAAACCAAAAACAAATGTTTTAAAATTAGTGGTATAGTAAATAAAGAATGAAGCTTCAGATAATATATAACATAACATATACATTAGGGTGTGTCAATTTTAATGTTTATGATGTTCTAGTTTTGTTATTTTGGGGAATTAGTATATAAGACAAATAATTTTAACATAAAAATATATATATTTATAAAATAAATATTTAATTCTTGATATCAAAAGATACGTACTTATCACTGGAAAGGTGCTTTACAAAAAAATATTTATCTTTCATAGGAGATTATACTTCAATACACGACATAATGTCGTCAATAATAATTTTTTTAACTTTGCGCAACTTTAGCTAGGCATTGCTCAGTTGAGACAAAACTTTTCAAAAACAGTTTTTTTATAAATAAAATATTTATAAGGTTTATTTATTTTAATATTTATACTCGACTAAAACTGGCTCTTTGGCGTGATGCAATGTTCATTTTAGAGGCAGTTTTCTTTTTTCCACTCGTGTAAGAAGACTTGTCTTTCTACAGCTGCTCGAGTCTTTTGTTCAATTACTAATTTGATTTCTCCAACTATGGATGATATTCCTCGTTTAATAACTTGGCTCCTGTAATAGAAAATAATTTCTTTCCCAAGACATGTCGTCAGCCGAGAACCAAGAGGCCGTATGTCCACATTATGTTTTTTTCAAGATTATTATCAATAATGATTCAATGTTTTATGGAGTGTGTATCTACTAAATCTAGTCACAAGAATAATAAAATTAAATTTCTTTTGTATTTTCAGTTCCTAACAGTTTTATTTATACTCTTATTGTTATTAAATACTCTTATTAGTCTTATTGTTCTTAACTTCGTCGTGCATTAAACAAAAGGCAAGCATTCCGCCCATATAATGACCCATTTAAACATCTCTGTAGACTTGATGTACGTTCCTCTAAGAGGAACTATCAGCAAGTGAAGAAATCTTAGTATCATCTTGAACAGTGCCGGATTAAGGAAGGGGGGTTATGTTTTTTAGTCATATTTTACGCTGTGGCACATAAAAAACGCCCCCAAAAATATATAGTCCCGGGCCCCTAAAAGTCTTAATACGTCACTGATCTTGAAACAGTTTGTATTTCTTTATTAATCTTCTCAGTGGATCGTTGATATACAATATAAGCATAAAGGATCAAATAATAATCTTTTTTTGCATGCAGGTTATGAAATATACATAACTGCGGCCAATTGCTTTTTAACAGACTACTGTTACATTTGTGGGCTTACAATAAGTTTATACAATAAACAATAAATTTATAACATGCTTATGTAAAATATCTATACTGCTGGTATATATATATTGCTTTTTGTTGTTGTTTCAGCTTGATTAAGGAAAAAATGGCTGTTTTCCTTATATAAGTAAAATAATGTACTTGAGGTTTGTCAAACTGATGGATCAACCATACTATTGAAACAGGCATATTTCAAAGATTACTTTACACTATGTAAATAAAAATTTTGAATTAAAAAAAAAAATAAGCTAAAAAAAGAAACTTCCAATTCTTTCAAATCTTTAATTTTTTTATTAAAAATTAAAACTATCGCAGATTAAAAAAAACAGATTAATTAATCTTTAAGACATTTAGAATGACGCAAAAGGAAAGATAATTTGTTTCTATTTGTAAATGTAGAAAAGATAAAAAAAGATGGCGAAACATTTGCTGTGTTTATCTAATAGTTATTAAAAAAATTATAAAATAATTTCATTTCATTACAATTGTTTTTAGTTTTACGCAATGGGATCTAATAATTCAGCCGGATCTAAAAATCTACTACTATATTAGATTATTAGATCCGCCTAGATTTATAGATCCTAGTGTGTAAAACTCGCATATATTTGATACATGTAAGTGATAAAATTGATAAAAGACAGGTAAAACTACCATTAGCTTTACATCACAAACTTGAAAACAACAAAATAGATGTTTAATTAGTTTCAATTTATAGTTTTACGCAATGGGATCTAATAACTCAGCCGGATCTAAAAATCTACTATTATATTAGATATAGGGCAGATACCAATAAAAACATAAAGGATCGCTAAAGAGTCAAATAATAAAACATGACATAGAGTAATGTAATAATTAGAAATATATATATATATATATATATATATATTTATATATATATATATATATATATATATATATATATATATATATATATATATATATATATATATATATATATAATATATATATATATATATATATATATATATATATATATATATATATATATATATATATATATATATATATATATATATATATATATATATATATATATATATATATATATATATATATATATATATATATATATATATATATATATATATATATATATATATATACAGTGGTCGAAGTGGGAAAAAAAAATGGGATGAATTTTTTCAATAATTTCAAATTACTATCCCCTCTAGTCAATGTTATACTAGGAAAGATATGATAAAGTTTACGTAAAATTATACGTATAAATACGTATATATATATACGTACGTGCGCACTTACTTACACACGTACATGCACGTGGACGCGTACGTGTATAAGAGATACGTGTATAAGAAATACATGAAAAAATTTGTTTTGAAATTAATTTGAGAGTGTTGCCAAATGTTAAAACCTCTGTTGGAAACATTTTAAAATTAGTTTCAAAGCAGATAATTTTATGTATGTAAGTCCTTTTTCAATGTCTTTGAACATTTTTATCAATTTGACGCATCAAAGAATGCACCCTCTGATCGCTAGGTTCACTTGCAAATATAAATCTGTATGAGCTTGGGTAACCTATGGACCTTACACTTTGCCCATGCAAATTGAGCAAACGAAAAAAGCTTTTTGGAGCTCATCACCGTGTTTTCAATAATAAAATTGGCTATCAAACCAGTAAACCAAATACGTTAGGGTAGTTGTCATAAGGTCATTAAAAATTTAGTTGGAAGTCGTTTGGATGTTACGCATTTATAATTATAGCAATTGAAAGGTAGTTATCAGATAGTTTGTAAATTATTTAAATAGGGTTACAATGAAACATGTATCAGTTGCAGTTTTTAAGGTCAAGAGTTGTAGTTCAAAATCTAAAAAATAGAAAAAACCATAATTTATTTAAATCACGTTTCAAACTATATTACAGATGCAAAGTATCCTAAAGAGTTTGGATTAAATAAAAATCGCAGTCTTAGGAAATTGTCAAAAAGCTACGCTACTAATGGTACTCTTTGATAATATTGTTAAGTATAATATTTGAAATATAAATAAAATTTTTGTTAAAAACATTGAATAACAATTTTTTTAAAGATGGTCTGCTAAGACGTAATGTAAAGGTATGTGGCATCTCTTTTCTTGCGGAAGTTATATTTAATATCGATGAAAGAGCCAAAATTTTGACGGCTGAGCATGACAGCCCTTTGGGAGGACACAGCGGAGAAACTAAAACAAAATTAAAAATAACCGAAAAGTACTATTGGCTCAATTTGAGTAGTGATATTAAAAAATTGGGTAGGTTATTGGAAAAAAAAAACTGCTTATTTCAAACGTCTGTATATATATATATATATATATATATATATATATATATATATATATATTATATATATATATATATATATATATATATATATATATATACACACGGGAGTTTGTAGGGATCAATTTTGCTGGGCCCTTTACGGAAACAAAAGCAAGTAATAAATATTTCCTTAGCTGTACCGATCTCTTTTCAAAGTGGCCACTGGTAAATGCTTTGCATAAATAAAGAAGCCGCAACAGTGGTTACGGCTATAATAAAGTTGGTCGCAACCTTTGGTTTTCCATCAGCAATTATAGCTGACAATGGAACAGAGTTTTGCAATCAGGTAAATTAAAATATTATCAAAACTATTAAAAATAAAAGTAATATTATTAAAAGTAGGATTAATCAATGTTTCCTGGAAAATTAATTACTTTAAAAATGATAATTGTTTTAATATTTAAGTTAAACTACGAAATGTATACGTTGCTCGGGATAGAACAAAGAAAAACAGCAGTTTATCATCCGCAATCTAACCTAACCAATCTTACCTTTTAATATTCTTATTAAAATTACCTTTTAATAAGAATATTAAAAGGTAATGTGTATATATATATATATATATATATATATATATATATATATATATATATATATATATATATATATATATATATATATATATATATATATATATATATATATATATATATATATATATATATATAAACTTGATTTAGCAAATTAAGAAAACTTATTGAGGAGAACCAATCAAACTAGGATGAATATATCGACATTGTTTTATATCTTTTGCGAGTCGAGAGACAAACATCAACTAAAGTTTCACCTTTTGAAATTATGTTTGGAGGCCGATTGCCGGTTTCACAGAGTCAATTTGAAATATTGAATGCGTTTTTTTTATAAACTCCACATATATATATCGTGTTTTTATTAACAATTTTTATTTTATTTTAAATATATATTTTATTTATAATTTTATTAATAACCTTGACACACAGTAAGGTATTCATAATTTTTGTGATTTAGAACGACCATAATTTTGTAGCAGCGACGACGGAGGAAATCGAAAGTGAAATGGAAATAAATAAGAAGCACATTCAGAGTCTCACAGACTTGGTTACTAAGGTTTGTAAAGATAAAACTAATTTATTCTATTAGTTTTATTATAAGTAGTTTATACGTAGGGCTGGTAATGGGTCCGGGTCTCATTTGTCGGACCCGAAACTCGCTATATTTATTTGCTTATTGGGGCGTGGTTCCCCTACGAAATAATATTTTTATTGCCTTTATGTCGTCTTTTTAGTCATGTCACCGAAACGGTTAAAAGAGAAAAATCAAAAAAATCGATTTTGTTAAGGACTAACTGAACTTTGCTTTTATTGATTTAATATTTACGCAAAACTTCAAATTTATATTCTGTAAATATAAATGTTTAATTACTCCTTAGAATTGATTGTTAGTTCAGACGGGAGCAATGCAATTACAAGCTGCGTCATTAAAAACAATGAAGGTATGCTATAAAGCAGTTGTATTAAGGCACTTTAATTAAATAAATCGTAACATTTAAAAAAGCATACTTGATATACAGGTCATGGAATACTTAATAGTTTACGACATTTAAAACCCATTAAAGCTATAATGGGAATATACGAAGAGTTAGGTGGAAGCAAACTATACAATTATTCGTTTCAAGATACTCTTATGGGTTGTCTTAGTGATGAAATTGTTTATATTTATTTTCGACTTATTGCCAAAAATTTTCAGGTAATATTTCTTTGAACATTTTATAACATATAATACAAACTACATTTAGATATAATATAAATCTCCATATAATAAAAACGATATTTAGAACATTAGAACTTATGATACAACATATATATCAACATAAAAAAGCACTTAAATAACATACATTATTTTTTGTGAAAATTAAATAACTTGACAAATAAATGTTTTAGGGGGAAAAAAATATTGAAATATTGCCATCAGCCGGATTTCTATCACAGAAAGAGATACCGCTCAAAACAAATTTGATTCGAAAACAGCAATTGGTACTGAAAAGTCATTCTTCTAATGATAAATAAGAAAAAATAAAATTATTAAATTATTATCACTTTAATTTTACAACAAATTCATATATATATATATGACATATTTATATTATATTTGATATATTATTAAATGATTTTTATATTAATTTATTTACAGGATAAACTATTCAAAATAGATGTAATTATATGCTGCATGGTTGCAAATTTTCACTGGACACTAACAGTATTTCAATTTTTAAACTATTTATTTTATACTAATTATACATAATTAAAAGAAAAATAGAATAAAAAATTTTATTAATGAAAGAATATATTTTCTAAAAAAAGGAAGAAATAAAATGGAAGTATGTATTTATTCAATGATTTGAATTGAGTGATTAAAATTAACTTGATTTTTTTAATATAAATTTAGAAGCTACTTAAAACAGAGGTACGGAGTTTCGGAAAAAATTAAAGTATTAAAATTGCCACAAGCATTGCAAGATGACAACATATCATGTGGAGTCTTCTACATTAAGGTAAATTTAGTAAAGTTATAGTACAATGAAATTTGACACTTTTTTTTTTTATCTTTTGGAAAAGATACAAAAAGTTCAAAAATTTTGTAGTTTGCTGAGAACTTTATAAATGAGGAAGATTTGGTGCAGTCTTTTTCACTCGAAGAACTAAACGAATATCAAAAAGACGTGGTACAGTTTTTATTGGATAAGGGAGGTTTGTTTATGAATTTCTAAATATTTTTTAAACTAAATTTAAATTTCTCATAAAATTTCCAAATTATTTAACAATGTTTTGTTATAGGTCAAGAAAATTGGAATGAAACAGTGTGTCGAATTTGTGGCCAATTCGAAGGACCTAAAAAAAATCAAAATCAAAAGATTGATAAATGGGTATAACATTTTATTATTTATGATTAATTTTATTAACATTTAGTAAACAATAGTTTTATAAAGTCCTTTAATGGCATCAATAGATTATATGCGATATCTGCAAGCCAGTTAGACGGTTCCACCAAGCATGTATTTTGTATGAGAAAGAAAAAAATGTGTTTACGTGCACAAAGATTTTTATTTTACAGGACAGGTGATACATTTTGTTGTAGTTTCTTGTGATTTAATTCAAATTTTTGTTATTTGAATTTTAAACCCTATTAAAATTATATTTGTGATATTGCATTTAGGAGTTAAAAGAAAGATGCAAAAAGAAAAGAACAATATATTTGTTTAAGTAAATAGTTTTGTATTGATTTAAAATCTTTTATTTGTAAATAAAATATATTTTTAGAATAAATAATTGAATGTAAATAAAAGTTGTTATTTAGTTGTTTATTTAGTTGTTATGTAAATATTTATCGAATTATTAATGACAATTAAGTTTTCAAACCTGCAATATTCAACAATTAAAATCTTTACAAAGTATGTAATAATGGACTGGAATCAACTTCAGAATAAATTACAAAATCAACTTTTTATTAACATTAAAAACCAAATTCTCAGAGCTGTTTTAAAATGCTACTTCTACACCAAGAAAAATAGCAACAGTCATTTTATTAACTTAAATAGTATTCTGATGTAATTCGTATTTGTTTCTGGTAAAAAGATCATTAATTATGTTCAATACAACGTTACTTTCTTTTTTTAATCTTTAATTATATTTGTAATTAATGTATTTTAAATACAAATATAAAATAAAAAATGATATACTATTTTAAACACGTATATTATTATTGTTATTGTTATTATATTTTTATATAATATACACGTGTGTTAATAATACTATAATATTATTATAAAAAATGCAACATACATAATAAATGCTTACTGTCTGTATTAGATAATCATTTATATGACAAATTGAAATAAATTATAGTTCCTTTTTTCGTCTTTTGTAATGTCTTACTGTGTGTATTTGATAATGATGTATATGACCAATTTTGGAATTGAAACAAATTTTACTTCTTTTTTTCATCTTTCGTGACGTCTTAAAGTTAATGGTTAGACCATTGAAAACTAGATTTTAATGGTCTACGTGTAAATATCAATTATTCGGACTCAAACGCAACACTTTTAAACATAATAACTTGAAGACGCATTCTCGTTTTGATTTTTACGCAATGGGATCTAATAATTCAGACGGATCTAATAATCTCCGCACTACACTGAATTCAACAAACATACACTTTCTACATTCAAAACAAACAATATTAATCTTGTACACCACTACATTTACTGTTAACCCATTTTTTACAAACTGTACAAGCAATAGTGTTTTCTCCAACTCTGACTGACCATCAAA